AGAAAAGAACCTTACAGAACTTGAAAGATTAGTCCTGGTCATATTTCTCTCATTATAGGCAAGATTTCTGTTGGAATTCGAAACTTAAGCTCTTCAGTGTATTGAGATCTCAACTGTGAGAATGTCATAGCTTTCCTGTATTATTGAGATGAATGTATTTAGTTGGTTTCACAACCAACATATGGGTTTTATTGTTGTCACTTGTACACTGAGTACAAACCATTTGCAAAACATCAGAAAAAGCTTTATATATATATATATCAATTAGACCGTTTTAATTCTAAAGCAATAAGAACAGAAGTGTGGGTCTTACTACAAAGTAAAGATTGTAAGAAGGAAAAATACTAAATTCTTGTGGTGCTGGTACTGGTAGAATTACGTACGAATCACACAAGTTTATCATTCGAAATACTGAATCATGTTATTATTATTATGAACTAAATATAAAATTACGCTAAATTATTGAAATTAAAACTACAAATTTAAATGAAAAAGAATATAAACAAATCACAAACTCTTTCAGTTCAAAGTACTAAGCCTAATTCATGTAAAGACCTTGCACTCACCACTTGGTAGTCCTTAACCCTAACAATCGTGGATCAACTTCTTTCCTAGATAATATATCTAATTTGAGTTAAATTTTCAATATAATGATTGAAATAAACAGATATACGATGTAACATGACTTAAGCTACTATATAAAAATAATAAAAGTCACGCACATCCCAGAAAATTAACTAACGACCAGAGGCGTAACAATGAATTATCGGGGAAAACCGAGTTTGTTCAGGACGCCCTCTTTTTATTATATAAGCCTGGCGAGAAAAACCAGCGAGATCGGAGAAATAGATAATGGGTCAAGATAACAGTAGGCACCATAAGTAAAGTGTGTGAATAACTGTGATTTATAGTGTGTGTGTGTTATAAAGGTTGTTAAGTTTAAAGTAACTGTGGAAATTCTATGTATTACTAAAAGTTGTATTGAGAAATAATAAACTAGATTAATCAAGAAAGGACTTGTATCGCTGAAGTTCCTGGGAAATAATTTGTACCAGAAATTAACAAACAAGCAGATACATAACAAACTGGTGTTAGAGAGTGGGATGGAAAAGAACAAAAAAAAAGAGGATGGAAATGAGAAGTGGCAAATCAAACTATGACTTAGCAGATTTGAAGGCAGCAATACAAGAACAGCAAAAGAAACAAGAAGAACGGGAAAAGAAACAAGAAGAGAAACAACAGCAGTGGCAAGAAAATGATCCACTATGTCATATGGGCCTTCCCATGGAGAAGACAACTTAGGAGACTTCCCTTTGGTCTTCCTAGGATTATACAACCACACCTTGTCTCCTGGTACGTTTTAAAATTTGAATGCATTTGATGATGAATATCATCCATCCTTTCAGATAACACTTTCACGAACTCTGGCACATTTTCATGAACACTTCATAAAGTAAGTGTCCTGTTATCAGGTCCAGTGGCAACCGAAATCCGCGACCAAACATCAACTTGGCTGGAGTGTATCCAGAGGATTCATGTTCTGCTGTCCTATAGGCCATCAACAGTGGAGGGAGTACGATATCCCAGTCATCTTGGAGGCTATTACAAAACTTTGCCAATTCCTGTCCCAGTGTCCAATTGTATTTTTCTACCATCCCATCAGACTGTGGGAGAAGTAGCATTGTTCTGGTATATTCAATGCTAAACAAGTTGCAGCTTTCATGGAACACAGCTGATTCAAAGTTACGGCCTTGATCTGAATGCAGTTTGTATGGCATACCAAACCTGAAGAAGAAATCACTAATAGTCGAAGCTACAGTTGAAGCTTACTGGGACTGTACCAACCTTGGTACCTCTGTGCTGGACTTAATATAGGATTCGAATTTAGGAGCTCTGGCCATTGCATCCTGCATAGTAGAGGGTGTGCTTGTTTACTGTATCTAAAGTTGTGGACTGTCTAGGGCATCTACAAACTGATCCCTCAGCAACAACTTGAGGACATGAGGTGGCACAGTTGGGTAGGCCTTATGTGCCATACTTTCCAAATCCTGTGCCAGCTTTGCAGGCTCTCCAACTTTTAGCACGAACTCTCAACCTAAACCTAGCCCTGTATATTTCAGACTGATTTTGAGTCCCATACCTGATTTCTAGAGCAGCTACCAGTGTTTTATAGTTGTGCCTATCATCTGCTGACAACTTTCCAAGTGTTTCCAGTGGTTGTCCCTTCAGGTTCGTTGCCAGGTACACTGATTTCTTCTCTTCTGTCCATCCATTCATTTCTGCCAGGAGCTCAAATTGTTCTCTATATGCTTCCCATAGTGCCTTCCTATCGAATTCCTGTGGCTTCTTTTGTACTAGATCATCCCTATTGCTGAAACTCATTTCTGGAAGGTGACTTCTGGCAGGACCGAATATGTCTGTATTAAGGTTTAGTTGCCAGTTCTGGAAGGAGCTTCCTGTTGTCTGGGTGTGATTAGGTCCATGATTAATATATCCTCCCTGTGTAAAAGACAGTAAATCTTTTACAATTGTGTATGCTGGCTTTCTCTCAACTGTTGGAGACTTTCATCCTCTTTCTTTTCTCGTTCTTTTTGTTTCCTTTCTTGTTCCACTTGCCACTGGGGCTGGTTTTCTTTCCACTGCTGTAGTCTCTCTTCTTGTTTATTTTCTTTCTCCTCCAGCTGCCACTGCTGTAGTCTCCCTTCTTGTTTATTTTCTCATTCTTCTTGTTTCTTATCTTTCTCGTCCAACCACTGCTTTAGTCTCTTTTCTTGTTTTTTTTCTCCTCAAACCACTTCTGTAGCCTCTCTTCTGGTTTCTTTTCTTTCTCCTCCAAACACCACTGCTTTAGTCTCTCTTCTTGTTTATTTTCTCGTTCTTCTTGTTTCTTTTCTCGTTCCTCTTGTTTCTTTTCTTTTTCCTCCAACAATTGCTGTAATCTCTCTTGTTTCTTTTCTTTTTCCTCCAACAACTGCTGTAATCTCTCTTCTTGTTTCTTTTCCCGTTCTTCTTGTTTCTTTTCTTTCTCTTCCAACCACTGCTGTAGTCTCTCTTGTTTTTTCTTTCTCCTCCAACCACTGCTGTAGCCTCTCTTCTTCTTTCTTTTCTTTTTCCTCCAACAATTGCTGTAATCTCTCTTGTTTCTTTTCTTTTTCCTCCAACAACTGCTGTAATCTCTCTTCTTGTTTCTT